GCGTTTTGTTTTGCGATTTTTCCATTCCACCTGTTTAAAGTACTGCGCCTGCCACGAAAAAGTGAGGCCAGGTCAAGTGCTGCACCTGTCACACAAAAACATCTTAAGCAAACCTGAAGACTGAAGATTTTTTATGCTCCAAAATGCAACCCCTCTCAGGAAATCAGCGCCTTGACCGGCCCTGACCTCCTAACATCTCTGATTAAAATGTCTCTTGTACTGTGCCTGCCAGGCGAAAGGCATCTTTGCAGATCCTCTTCAAATGTCCCACGTCTGCCATCGTTTTTGGAAATGCTACAAAAACCCTCACGTTTTTTCTCACTTTTGACAAGGTGCAAAAATCCCTTGCCCCTGCCACACAAAACCACACTTCAACGTCCAAAAGTGGCACAAACATGTGGTGCTTTTGGCATTTTGACTTCGGAATGTGCTTCGCGCCACAACGCCGTGCGCTTTTTCAACATCTCAACTTCCAAAAATGGTCCGACACTGAGGTGTTTTGTGCATTTTGACTTCGAAATTTGCTGCGCGCCACAACGGCGTGCACTTTTTCCACGTCTCAATTCCTAACAGTGCTCCGAAGCTGACGTGTTTTGTACATTTTGACTTCAAAACGCACTTCGCGCCACAACGGCGTGCAATTTTCTATCTCTCATCCGGCCAGATGGCTCCGCACCCGCCGCTTTAGCGAGCCTACTTTTCGACCCTCCGGAGCCACAAATCATTGGAAAAACAGTGTTTCGCAACTTTTCTACCTTTTCACGCACCTGCATCTTCTTTCTTCTGAGTCTTTCCCTTCTCTGATCTTCTTTCTTCTTCTCTTCTCTTCTCTGCTCTTCTCTTCTCTTCTCTGACTCTTCCCACCTCTGCTTTTTCACCTGTCCATATTGTCGGAAGTTTGACTTCTAAACTTCCTCCGAATAACATGGTGATGAATTACTTTGCTATCTTTTTGGGGTTGCTATATAGTTGGTGAGGTTTATGAACCAACTTAGCTATCGTTTGGATCATCATCTCTGGTGGTGGCATGTAGTGTTTGTCAAAAAAATAGGGCGCCCCCAAACCCAACAGATTTTCATCATCTTCCCCATGAAAAAGGCGATAAGTGCGGCGTGCCGGCAGGATGTAGACCCAATTTGCAAATATACCCATATATAGGGTTTCTGAAAATGGGGCTCGGGGACCCTAGAATATCTAGAATCATCCAAGTTCTTGGTCATTTTAAATAGAGTAAAACGGGTTTTGTGGCACATCGATTTTGAGAAACACCAAAAAATAATATGTGGACTTACTAATCTTTTGGACCCGCCTGCTCGACAAAAAAGTCTTTGGGATGTCTATTCGTTACAATGTACCTTCCATTCAGATGCTACCAAATCAGACATGCAACTGGACGGTTTTGGCGAGCCGGCAAAATTGGAACGGACTTCTATATTTCTTTCAGACTACACCCCCATTGTTGGTTGATTGTATTGATTGACCCCCCCGCTTTTTGAGTTTACGTAAGCTGTGCAAATATGTTAAATATTTCCATGCATGTCGAGCCCTAGTGTTTCTAGTTTGATTTCTGCCGCCTATCACTATTGGCTATGTCGCTGTCCCCACTATTGCTGTGATATCCATTTTGCTGGCTGGTTGTATCGGCTTTGGCACAGACCCATGCATACAAGAGCATGATCCGTCGATATCAGTTGGCTGGCTATACCACAAGTACGACCATTTGGATCGAACTGGGGTTGGGTCATGTCACTGTGCGGCTAGAGATTGTGATATGTTTTCATCAAAGTACGTTTTGAAAACCCTCATATGTATATTTAATATAGATATTTAATACCACATCTACAAAGTAGCACGTTTGATCACTTGTCGCAAATCTCATTTCATCTCTATCTACATGTCATCCCTAGAGTCTATGTATTTATCTATATGCACCCCCATGCCAGTACATGTATCCTCTCTCTCTCTCTCTGTCTGTCTGTCTGTCTGCCTGGCTGTCTGTCTGCCTGCCTGCCTGCCTGCCTGCCTGCCTGCCTGCCTGCCTGTCTGTCTGTCTGTCTGTCTGTCTGTCTGTCTGTCTGTCTGTCTGTCTGTCTGTCTCTCTCTCTGCGGCTTGCCCACTGTCCATCCCATTTGGGGGGTTTATGGTATCCAAGTTGGGCCGAGGACCAGGGCTACAATACCTAATTTTGTATTCAATAAATTTCAATAATACATTATTGTCAGATACCACACTTGCATGAAGTGAACATCGAAAGGAATTGGATTAATCGCATGATGGATATCATTTCCCCCCAAAAAATCAGATGTGTCATGGTCAAACATGGTTTATTTTCCCATAAGGGATGGTCATCCCTCATTTATGCATTCATTCATTTGTTCATTCGCATTCGTTCATTCGTTCATTCATTCATTCCTTCCTTCCTTGCTCCCTCCCCTCCCTCCCTCCCTTCAATTCCCTCTCACGAAAGGGAAAGGAATGGAAACGTCCATCAAACTAGGAACGGCAGTGCCCCTGATGCAAGCTAAATTCCCTCGTCGTAACATCAAGGACTTCAGTAAAGGCCATCCCTCCTTTACTCCCTGGAACTCCCTTTCATTCCTTCCTTCAATGCCCCCTTCCCCTTCCCTTCCCCTTCCCCTTCCCCTTCCCCTTCCCCTTCCTTCCTTCCTTCCTTCCTTCCTTCGTTTTTTTTCTTGATTCGTTCGTTCGTTCTTTCCTTCATTCGTTCGTTTGTTCCTTCATTCATTTCATTTCATGTTCGTTTCATTTTCATTTCATTTCATGTCATTTTCATTTCATTTTCATTTCATTTTCATTTCATTTTCATTTCATTTTCATTTCATTTTTATTTCATTTCATTTCGCTTCATTTTTCATTTTCATTTTCATTTTATTTCATTTTCATTTTCGTTTCATTTTCTTTTCTTTTCGTTTCATTTCATTCCAATTCCATTCCAATCCGTTCCGTTCCATTCCATTCCTTCACTCATTCCCTTTTTCTATTTCCTTCATTAGTATTATTTTCTTATTCCTTTTATCGCTGTTATTTTCTTTGCATAACCATGACTTATGGGAACCATCCCTCATTCATTAGTTCGTTTTTTTTACATCTAACCCGTTGTAGGAATCCCATTAATCACCACAAGGGAAACATGACCTTTTGTCAAGTATCGACCAACTGAGGGAAACCCATTCATGACGGTGGGGTGACCATGAATCATATAGTTGCTTACGCTCTCTCTCTCTCTCTATATATATATATATCATTAAATATATCCCATGAAAGCCACATTGAACGCTGTTAAATCACTCTGACACCACCATTAAATCAGCATTAGCTATGGTTAACTCCTATCATACCACACTACAATCATGAGAATAATAAATAACATTAATAATGGGAGTCAACCATAGCTAACCAACAATTATTAATATTATACACACACACATATATATATATATGCATACAGTTATTGTTGGTTCCATCCCCGATTCATGACATGATCTGAGGCTTCAACAGTCACGCATTGTCTCCAACGCTTTAGCGGCAGCCACCAACAAGCAGGCCGCCAAATTGTGGCTGTTTTGTAGAGAGACTTCACCTGGAAACCATGGGTGGCTTAGGTTCGGAACATTTATATACATTTGCCTGGTGATGTTGGATGAATACTAGGATTGATTGTATTCAGCAACTATCCAAATAATTACGTTGGAAAATGTTCTGTTAATGTGACCTCCAAATCAACCATTTGACTTCAGTAGGGTAAACAGTCTTGGACAGACCCATGCTGTATGTCTAACCTAAGAAAGCGTTGGCAATGAAAAGGTGCGAGCCGCCTGAGCTCGGCCAGCATGTTCCTTTGCACATGCTAACACTGCAAGTAAAGGTCACGAAGGAGACTGGCAGGTGAGAGAACTAGCTGGAGGATTTTTCTTGAGCATTTGGCTGCAAAAAACAGTTGATCAAACTTGCTGTCATCCTTTTGCCGCTGCATTTCGCTGTTCAAGCCTCCTTGAAAGTCTCCTCGAGCTTTCGGCGATTTCCCGATCTCTGCTCGCAGAATGGCGCCCATGAAGGCCATGAAGGCGATGAAGGCAATGAAGGCAATGAAAGCCATGAAAAGCATGAAGTCGATGAAGAAGGCCGATGACGAGGAGATGCCAGCAATGAAAGCCATGAAGGCGATGAAGGTAGACATTTGTGCTTGCATGGCGGCTGTTTTGGGAGCTGCCAATGAACATGATCAGTAATTTTTTCGTTGGCTCTCAGTTTTGGCGTGCATCGGCACTGTGTCCGTTTTGTGGATGCTTTGTCCTTGGCTGTGCGCATTTCTTCTCGAATTTGATCCTTGTGATTCTTTTGTATAGCTTGTCTGGCTTGGATCTTTTGTTGAATCCGGGGCAGATTGCATTCATGCGCTTTTCCAGCATGATCTTTTGGCAACAATTTTGTGGGCCTGTGGCCCTTCACCTGGGGTAACAGATTCAAGTTCTTTTCTTGGGTCCGAGATCCCTCATCTGCATTTTGTAGGTGAAAATTGGATTATAACATGAAGGCGATGAAGGCCATGAAGGCGATGAAGGCCATGAAGGCAATGAAAGCCATGAAAGCGATGAAGGCCATGAAATGATTTGCTCACTGATGATGGCAATGCTGGCATCATTTGGGTCTTTTGATGCGCCCAAATGACATAGCAGTACAAATACAGGGAGGAGTTCGTTCAGGTCCGTAGGGCCTGAGGTGTACAGAAATGCGCAGACCGACTCTGTGCCATCTGTGCCTGAAAAAAGGGTCGGGTTTCATTTGGTGACTGCTGTTTTTCACATGGCACGTCCAGGTCTTCAGTATCTTCAGTTCGGAACGTGGGCAGTTAGGTGGCTTCTCGTTGCAATGGAGAGAGTGTCACAAGATTTGCAATCAACCCGATAGGCAAAGAGACAGTGTTACATCATTACATGTTATCGTTTGTGCAAAAATGTTCCAGAATGTGCCTTGTTGCAGTAGCAAAATTTTGCAGTCACTATAAGGAAAGCATCCATGAACTTTTACAGGAACATGAATTTGCCCGTCCAAAAACTTGATCAGAGAAGTGTGATCGGTGTAGGGTCAGACAAGATGGCCGCATTAGCGAGTCACGGAAGAACTTGGAATTTGGTGTTTTCCCATGCAAGGACTTGTTGACAACATTTTGACCTTGAGTGATTTGATATTCCAGACGCATGAGCTCAACACTGTTCATCTTGCTTCAGGTGATGCTTGGAAACTTTTTGATCCGTGACATTTGCTCAAGCCTCCCTGAAAGTCTCCTCGAGCTCTTGGCGATTTCCCCATCATTGCTTACAGAATGGCGCCCATGAAGGCCATGAAGGCGATGAAGGCAATGAAGGCAATGAAGGCAATGAAAGCCATGAAGAGCATGAAGTCGATGAAGAAGGCCGATGACGAGGAGATGCCAGCAATGAAGGCCATGAAGGCAATGAAGGCAATGAAGGCGATGAAGGCGATGAAGTGATTTGCTCACTGATGATGGCAATGCTGGCATCATTTGGGTCTTTTGATGCGCCCAAATGACATAGCAGGACAAATACAGGGAGGAGTTCGTTCAGGTCCGTAGGGCCTGAGTTGAGCTGTACAGCCCCGCGTGAGTGAACGCAAGGTTCTTGCCATGCCCGACAGCAAAAAGACTTTGGATGGGTTTCTCTCAAAGTTCGCGCTTTTTTGTTTGAAGTGCCACTGGTTGAAGATGATTCAAGATTGTGATGATGAAAATATCTTCCTGCAACGCCAGTTCCATGCCGTTTTGCCATGATGGCAGGCCTCCAATGCACCCAAGGGCAATGGCAAAGGCAAGGCTGGTGGACGCGGTCCTGGCTCAAAGAGGCCTCACTATGGTGATCTGCTGCCTGGGAAGGGGTAGTGGCGGGTTGGGATGTTGATGCTGTTCGTCAACATTTGCAATGCAACTAACAATATGCCAAGTTTTGGGGATGGGGTCAAACTTGGTCAAACGCTGAACATCCAGGCAGCTACAGATATCTTGTGCCTTGTGCTAAGTGCTAAACCGTTGAACCACCCAGTTTGATGGATCGAGCATGATCAAAACATTTGAAGCAGAGCCGCTAATATCTTCCAACAAAAAAGGCTTGTGTGAGAGATGGTGGGCCCAAGCCCAAGCAACCAATGTTTGATACATCTTTGGAAGGATAGGTCGGATAGGTACGAGCAAGGGATTCTTTTGAAGGTGCCTCCATCCTGAAAGAATCCGAAGGAGGTTTAGCCCGAAGTTTTTATCAGAGTTGCTTCCCTCCTTCCTGCTCCTTCCTCCTTCTTCCTCAACTGCGAGCTCCAGATCTCAGTGGGCACTGCTGGGCCCCAACCGCGAGCTCCAGAACTCAGTGGGCACTGCCGGACCTCAACCGCGAACTCCAGATCTCAGTGGGCGCTGCCGGACGAGCTGCAGATCTCAGTGGGCACTGCCGGACCTCAACACATGCGAGAGAGAATGTCAGAATAGACGCCAGATAGACTGCCAGAATACAATGTCAGATAGAATGCCAGAAAGAATGCCAGAATGAATGCCAGATAGAACACCAGAAAGAACACCAGAAAGAACGTCGGAAGATATGCGAGATAAAATTGGCAGAAAATGTCAGAAGATATGTCAGGTAGAATGCCTGAAGAGAATGTCAGATAGAGTGCCAGATAGAAGGTCAGAAAGAATACCATAGAAAATCTCAGAATGGATGCCAGAAAGGATGCCAGATAGGATGTCAGAATAGATGCCAAATAGAATGCCAGAATAGGATGTCAGATAAAATGCCAGAATAGAGCGTCAGAAGATATATGCCACATATACTTCCAGATGTTAGGCCAGAAATTATGACAAAATAATTTACCAAGGTGGGGTTCATTTTTTTAATTGAACCATCCATTTTTTTCGTTGAATGCTTTGTTGTAGCTGTGGCTGCCAGGGTACACCGGGAGCGCCCTGCGCTGGAGTCGCGGCCCCAGTTTCAAACGCACTTCTCCGAAATCGTGTATATAAATTGATGAAATTCAATGGTCCACACTTGTTGTTTCCAGTTGGTGGTGTAATGTTGAGGGCGGATCCTGTGATGTTTTCCGTCGGAGCAGGAACACCCTGGACCGCCTGAGAAAGCCTTTGGTACCTCCACAACGTGATCCGAAGAAGAGCTGAGATTGGACAGACTCCCATGTTGCCCCGGATGGTCCAATAGCTCGAGGTCGGTCAGTAGAGCTAGGTAGCATCAAACTTTTGGGCAAACTAAAAGACCGTGACCACCGTGGACCATTTGGTGCAAGGGAACCATTTGCTAGCAAGGCGTTAGTAGCCGGAAATGGCTCGCCAAAGTTCAGAAAGGTGCTGTGCACAGACAGGGGCCGGGCATCTTGTGTGATGAACAACAGCTACATCCCTTTGAAAGGGAACAGGCAAACCCGGGGAGTGTGGAAATTTCGCGGATTTGGGAGACTCGTTTCGACCTTCTACTTCTGGACATTCCTATTTTCTCCCTCCATTTTTTTTCTCCCATGACACTGGGTTGACGTTCCGCAGATATGCTTGCAACTGCACAGCGACCTGAACTGTTCCAGTCCATTATCAGGTAGTTTGCAAGAAACATCTACTAGTACTGTTTCCACCTTGAATGATCCGAGTTCCGGCCAAGCCGAATGCACAATCCTGTAGGGACATGTGTTGACGAATATTCATGGAAAACAAATCAGTCAAAACAGATCCTCTCTTCAAATTCCGCTCAAAGAGTTGAACATCTATGTCATCTATCTTTTGGGAGTTTCTCCAATTTTTATTGCCAATCTTCTTTTCCAATATCATATATGCAGCTTGTAGTTGGTGAAATCCCTCTTGTAGACCCATTGCCGTCCAGCCTTCGTTGGACATCCCAAACTAGAGATCCTGCAGCCGAGCGCTTCATCGCCCTTGCGATGTGGTGGAAATCTGTGGCGCTGCTTTGCCTCGCGAGAAGTGAGATCTCAGGGTGCCTTGGGGAAAGCTCCGGAGGCTTTTAATAGTTCGAGATGGTTCGGGCACGTTCGGGTTTGCAATCTTGATGGAAAATGCTAGATATTGACAAGATGTTCTCATATACAGTCACTTCGGTTTGTGTTTGTTTCTCATCTTTCACGAAACAGAACATATTTTTGTGTTTTTTTGTGTATATTTATCTGTTTCTCTTTTTGATGGAGTTCCAAGTACCATGAACCTCCACAAGTGATAACGAATCATTAAAAAAAACACAGGCACATTTGGATTTGCAGAATCAGCCGGAGGACATCACCCCGGCTTTGCAAGATAAATTAGACCTGTCCTTTTGTGGAGTACATGAAGCAAACTATTGGTAGTGACAGAACCTTGGCAGATGATCATCGCAACTGAATGAGATCAGATCCGACGTTGCAATTCCCCTGGTTTTGAGGGTGCGTTGCGAGCTAGCCATAGAAATCTAGGCACTTTCAAACTTCAGCCCTCTTGAGGCCGGTCTTGGTGCCAGTGCGCGAGCTCAAAGGCGGGTTTCGGTTCTGCTGGCGACTGCTTGAACTTTGGGCAGCTATAGCATCCTGGTAGGCTGCTGTCCTGACAACAAGGGCCAGTGGCACTCCTGCTGCAGCTGCTTGGACTCTGTGGGCATGAGAGATGGATGGTAAGATAAATGCACGAAAGCAGGGAATAGAAAACACAGATGAACAAATCTAATTAGGGACATTGAATGATAGTGCTATTGATCGTCGCATTGACATGGATATTGATATTGATATGTCTAATCACGTAACATGTGTATATATATATAATACAGTATTATATAATATAAATAATATAAACATATTTATATTTATATATGTATATATATATATGTATATATGTATATATATATATGTATACGTTTCTTCGTGAACTTCGTTTGACAGTATGGTAACAGATTGAGAAGCAACTGCGCTGCGAGGTGTGGCGGGCTCCTGCTGCCCTGCCTTGGACGAAGAGCTGCAGCCGTGTTGCCCGGGCTTCAAAGAGCAGCAACTCTTTGAACCGTGCATAGGCCAGGATGTCCTGGATGTCCTGGATGCCCTGGATGTCCTGGATGGCGGTGGTATACGGTGGTGAAGACTGGGATGTCTTTGGATGTCTTGGATGCACCAGAGATAGTCCTACTGTTGAAGGGATGCTGTTGAATCAGAGGGATTGACATATTTATATGATATATATGATACATATGATATATATATATGATATGTATATATGATATATATATATGATATATATGAGATATATAAATATATGATATATATAATGATATATATATATATGATATATATATATAATGGTATATATATATGATATATATATATATGATATATATATATATATATATATATTATATGATATTTAAATGATATATATGATATATATGATATAAAGGATATATATATATGATATATATGATATATATATATATGATATATATATATGATATATATGATATATATATGATATATATGAGATATATATATGATATATATATATATATGATATATATGATATATATATGATATATATGATATATATATGATATATATGATATATATGATATATATATATGATATATATGATTTATTTGATTTATATGATATATATATGATGTATATATATGATATATATATATATATATGATATATATGATGTATACGATATATATGATATATATATGATATATATGATATGTATGATATGTACGATAGATATGATATTATGATATATATGATATATATGATATATATATATGATATATATGATATATATGATATATATGATATATATGATATATATATATGATATATATATGATATATATATATATGATATATATATATGATATATATGATATATATGATATATATGATATATATGATATATATGATATATATGATATATATGATATATATATGATATATATGATATCTGATATATATGATATATATATATGATATATATGATATATATATATGATATATATGATATATATATATATATGATATATATGATATATATGATATATATATGATATATATATATATGATATATATATATGAGATATATGATATTATATGATTTATATATGATATATATGATTTATATATGATATATATGATATATATGATATATATATATGATATATATGATATATATGATATATATGATATATATGATATATATGATATATATGATATATATGATATATATGATATATATGATATATATGATATATATGATATATATGATATATATATATGATATATATCATATATATATGATATATATGATCTATATATATGATATATATGATCTATATATATGATATATATATATATATGATATATATGATATATATGATATATATATGATATATATGAGATATATATGATATATATGATATATAGGATATATATGATATATATATATATATATGATATATATGATATATGTATATATGTATATATATATATATTGTAGTTTTCACTGTCTTGGCGATTAGAAACAGACCTTCTGGACAGTCTATTAAGCGCTGGGCACGGACCCATACATTTTTGCCGCTCCTGTGCAAAAGACTAGCTACATGCCTTGTTCTTGTACACTCTGGTATGAAATCCTACCTAAATATATGAAAATTAAACATATCTATATATTTATCTCTAGATGATTTAGGGGAGGGAATTCCCATTGCCAACGATGTATTTCGGGTTGAATCTGCATTTTTGATGCTTTAATTCCTGCAAAAAATTAGTTTCCGAAGGACTGATGGGTTGATAGGGGCCGTTGGACCTGCAGGTATCAACGGGCGAAGCCCATGTCCCAGCGATAGCACCTGCTGCAGTGGCAGCTGCTGTGTCGGGAAAGCCGTGTGCTGTGGAAAAACCTGCTGTACACAGGACGTGGTGCAGGTAGAAACGCCCCATTCATTGAACCGAAACGCATGGAAAGTCATCTTCAGAACCAGTTTTCCGGGTAATTTGAGGGATATGGACAGCAATTGCGGGACTCCATGGGCGCGTGCCATCAAGCTGGAAATGGACGGCTTGGTGCATGTCAGCATCTTCAAAAGTAAAGGTTGCCATTGTGCACAGGAGTCCAGCTGCTGCAAAGACAGCCTGGGGGACGATGTGCTGCTTGGGCTGTTCAAGCTTGCTCACTGATCTCAGTGTGACAGTACTTGGGTGTTGGTGCAGTGTTGATGCTGGTAAGTGATAAGTGGATAATAATAGTGGATAATAGGGGTGATATCAACAGTATCCCAACTTATGGGGGTTATTTCACCATGGTTATACCATGTTATACCTATAAAAACCCCAATCATCAGAGGTTTGAGACTGGTGGCCTTGCCCCTTATTTCACCAAGGTGTGGGCCGCCCTCCTGCGATTTGCCCGGCATGGAGAAGCAGGTCGAGCGGGTTTCCTAAGTCATGGGGTTACCCCCAAACCATCCATTGATATCCATGGTATTTTGGGATGTTCCATTATAAACCAACTATTTTTTGGTGTATCACCATTTTGGGACATCCCCATAATATGTATATAATATTATATAATATGATTATTTCATCCATATTATATGATACTATATGGGATGAGGTGATTGAATTTAAACACGGATTTTGACCCATAACTTGGAGCCAACATGATGAAATCCAGTACCCTGACAGTTTGAAGGAAGAGATCCTGCTGGACAATCTGGTGTGACAGCTGGTCGGAAGCCGAGGAACCGTGGCCCAAGGAAAGTGTAAACTTCCCCTGAAATCTGCCTTGATTCAAATTTGGAGTTTCGGCAAAGTTCTTGAGGCAGAATCATATCGCCCAGCAATTGATTTGCTTACTTGGCCACTACCTGAACAGCTGCATTGAACTGACTTGGGACCTAAGGCCACTCTGTTCCCAGTGACTTGCCAATGCCAGGTGGAAAAAAACATTCGATATGCTTTGTGCAAAGTTTTAATCAGTTGATTAGTCAGTGCTGGCCATTCTCAGGTGCCTCAGAAAAAAATACCACAGACGGCTGTATGTATGTTCCCAAAACTGGGGACAACCAAAAACCCGGATAGTTCCCTCACAGAACTAGACCATCGAATGGGGATGTGACACCTCCCCATTCGGGGACATTTACCAGTTTACTCAGCAAGAACACACACCCTTAATTGTAGATAATGCCAACACATTTCTATAATTCTACCCCTTCTGGCACCAGAAGTTCCACAGATCTCATCCTGCAGCTGCCTCATCTTGTGAAGTGCACCCGCTGTGTTGGGCTCCAAGGGCATCCCGCGCGATCCACGTAGCTTCAACAGATAGCTTTAAGAACTTATCATCTCAAGTGCGCTGGGTGGGTCCAGACGGGTATATTTCATAGGTCGACAGTGGGTGAAGTGTCTTGACCATACCTGAATGTGCTTCTTTTCGGAGGCTGTTGTCCGTTTCTAGTCACGGAGGAGACATGGAAGTGAAGACTGGGCAACATCCACCAAAGAACAATTTCGAATGTTGGCCAAGGGAGTGAGGAAATGTTATCAGTACCATCCATCTCTGCTAGGTCATGGTGAAGGGAAACTTCTCCGTTGATCCCTCCTTGGAGGCCTGGGGGAATGTGGCTCTGGCTGCGTGGCTATGTTTTGTGCTGCAAGGCCAAGATGCACCAGTACCAGATTGTGGGCCGAGCTGCACCCACCAACAAGAACCCGACCCCGAAGATCTATCGCATGAGGAGCGCAGCCAGCGGGTTGTGCTACATGACGGAATACAGTTCCATTTTGGATGTGGAAAGTCCAACTGAGCAGATGAAAATGACTGAACTGATTGAACATGTTTGTTTTGCCTCATTGACCTTCCCAGCACATCAAGGATCTTTGCTCGCAACGTGGTCCTGGCCAAGTCTCGCTTTTGGTACTTCATGAAGAGGTTGAACAAGGCAGGGTGCAGTTGCGCAGGAGCCGGGGAAGCTGCAGTTGAACAAGCTGGACCCTATACCCTCTCTTCATTCCTGCGCAGGAGCATCTGGATGTTTCCCACGGTTTCCCAAAATAAGCAAACCCTAATCATCTACCAGTACCAAGATTCCCAGATTGTTTGCCTTGGATAAAAATTTGGTGCCCCAAGTGGGTGACTTTGGAGGATGGCCCCAGTGTAGCCAGGCAAAGAAGAGCGGCGGTGAGTTGTTGTCCGTGAACGAACTCTTTGACACCTCCCCAACCAAGGCCGAAGGGTGAAGATTTAGGCGAAAGGAACTTGTTTGCTGTGGCTGTGCAGGTGAAGAACTACGGCATTTGGCTCCGCTATGACAGCCGAACCAACACCCACAACATGTACAAGGCAGGAATCATTACCAACAACTGCATTTGATGGTCTTCTATTCTGCTTTTCACATCACTGTGGGATCCAGAAGAACTAATCCCATCAGCAATTATTGTTTCAGATTAATAAATTATCAGATTTTAGTCCCAAAGTGCGCATTCAACTTCTCAAGGCATCGATGTGGTTGATTTTTGAGTTGTATTTGGGCGATTTTGAGTGCGCAGTGTTCTACCGCCCCTTGTTGGTTGATGATTGGTTCGGGGGTACTATCGAAACTTGGGGATTATCATCAATTCTCGGGATTAATCATTGGGATTCTCATAATTGGTTCAATATCATAATGGGGGGTTAGATTAACGATCATGGAACTCCCAATTGGTTAATGAACCATTATTGTATTAGGGGGTTATATTAACCAGGATTAATAATAATGTCAACCCCGGATTAATAAACCCCAAACGGCTGGTTAATTGGGGTGGTACCATTTAAGTATTGAATTATGACTATTGGAGGAGTACCCCCCTAATTAATAAACCATGGTTTAGTCTCATCCGGGGTTGACATTACCAATGATCAATTATTGTATTAGGATATCAATCATGGAAGTTCCAATGAACCAATTGGTGTCGGAGCCAGTTGCAAAACAGGAGTTCCGCAACGTGAACATCAACGGTGCTGTGGGCCAGCTGTGCGCCTTCCAGAAGGTTCAGAAAATTGCGCCCAGTTGTTTGTCTCAAAATGGGCGATATCCACGTGATACCCCAAGAGAAAAGGCAATTTCCATGGGTAAACTTAAGATAAACCCATATTTTTTTTTGGCTTGCAATATTTTGAGACAACCGTTACTGTGACTCAAGTATGGTTTCTGAATGGGAAAAATCCCTTGCCAGACGTGTTTTAGGGGTAAAGACCCATGGGTTCCCTGCAGAGTTTCCCTTAAACCAATCTATTGACCACCATTGCATACTCCGAAAAAATCATCAGCTGTCCAATATTCATCAGTATTCATCAATATTCATCAATATGGCAGTGTGTCAAAACCTTGTACCCCTGTAGTTCACATCAAAATAGCTGGTAAATGGATGTTCATCCCACTAACAAATGGTATTAATAGGTATTGACCCATACCCATATTCAATGGTGGTAATATGGTAGTCATCCCATCATCAAATCCATCCCCGATGGCTCCAGGTACCAGGAGATGGCCGGCCGCCACCGTGCGGACCCGGGCTCCATCCAGATTATCCACGTGAGGGTGCCCAAGACGGCTCCGGCATGAAATGATTGGAGGATGATCCTGGGATTGATGATTACTGTGGTTTTTTGGTTGTTTTTCTGTTTAGTGACTTCCAAGAAAAGATGGATTTCGGTGATTTGAATGTTGCGTTTTGTGTTCAGTTTCGACCATTGACATTCTTTGAAATGGTGTCTGAAAATGGGGCATACCATCATCAAGACTTTGGGGGCTACCCCATTGGACAATATCAAAAATCAAATAATATAATTGGTTATATATCCCTAAGATATCTCCATATTTGTTGGTTAAGTCTCCCCTTTTCAACATAACCTATCCCAATTAATCATAGCCTATTCATATACCATGAATGAATATCCCATTTAAGTACTGTAAAGAAATATCAGATGATTGGTTCATGCTGGTGATTTATCCCCCATGAAATTCCATGATATTAATGATATCCCCATATATAGATGATTTCCCATGACAATTGCTGCTTAAATCACGGAGATTTGATGAGGCCACCACCGTGCCGGATGAGAAGTGCCGACGTGAGCACGTCCTGGAGAGAAGGGCCCGGAGATTTCAGAATTTGAAATTGACTACCTTGCTTATATTGTAATATATATATATATATTTATGTATAATAATGTATGTACATACTACATATATATATATACGTAATAATGTAATAGATGTATATATATATACACACATGTACGTTAGCAGATATATCATATATGTATATACAATATTATATATTCACATATTATATGTATATTTATATACATATTTCTTTATACTTTATACACATCTCTCTCTATCTTTTTACATATACATCCATACATACATATATATATATATACATATACATATGGTAGAGCTTCGCACACCGGCGATGCCTGTAGGGGTCGAGAGAGGGGGATTTCATCTGAACTTGCGGACATGACATGCTGCGAGCTGCATCTTCGTTGTCGTCATCGTCATTGTCGTCGTCGTCGTTGTCGTTGTTGTCGTCGTCGTCGTCGTCGTTGTTGTTGTTGTTGTTGTTGCTTCTGGTCCTCCTTCTCGTTCTCGTTCTTCTTCTTGTTCGTGTTGTCGTTGTCGTTGTCCTTGTTGTCGTCGTTGTCGTCATTGTCGTCGTTGTCGTCGTTGTCGTCGTTGTCGTCGTTGTCGTCTTCGTCTTCGTCGTCGTCGGCGGCGTCGTCGTCGTCGTCGTCGTCGTTGTTGTTGTTGTTGTTATAGCTGTTGCTGCTTGGTCCTGTTGTCGTTGTCGTTGTTATCTTTGTAGTTGGTACTTTTTGCAAACCCCCAAAATCATCAAATCTACGGTTTTTGCAAACCCCCAAAAAGCGTCAAATAGGCGGTGTTTTCGTGATTTTTCACATTCTCGGAACAAAAAAACACCGTAAATACCGATGTTTTTGGCTCCGCGCCAACGCAAAACCACGGTATTTACGAGGTTTTGAGCCTCTGCTAGCAAAAATCACGGTATTTACAGTGTTTTGTGGCCCGGGCCTAGCAAAAACACTGGTATTTACGCAGTTTCCTGCATGTTGTCAGAAGATTTTTTTGGATGCCAAAGGCACAAAAACATTGTAAATTACACGATTTTTACGCGTGGACAGTACCAAAAAAACAGGAAAATTGACCAAAAATCGACCAAAAAACGCCCAACAAGGACCCCCAAAACGCATCTTCAAATTTTACCATCTTTTTTCCCACCCCGAACCCCCAAAAACGTGAACACCCCAGCAGGCTGAAGGATTTTAGGGGTCGGCGGCAGGGGCGCGCCCCCGGGTAGCTAAAGCTATGCTTAGCTTCCCCACACTACACGGCGAGGCATCGCCGGATTTAAGGGCTAACGCCCCTCGTCGGCTCCGCCGGATTTCTCGGCCCTCCATTTCATCGCAGTGTGGGGGCTGGAAAGCTTTTGGATGGGGACCTGCTTCAGAAATATATTCCTTACGTTTTTTGAAAAAAAAAAAGAACAGGAACTTTGTTGGAAATAGACGGCTTTTTTGGGGAGCAAGTGAGTGCCCGAAAGCTCCTGCCAAGGGTTTTTCCCGAAGAACTGCTGCCAATTTCAACTTGTGACTTCATGTCAAGACGCCTCTGTGCAAAGACTTCTGTGTAAAAGCTTTTGTGTGTAAAAGTTTCTGTGTGTAAAAACCACTTTGTGTAAAGACTTCTTTGTGTAAAAGCTTCTATGTGTGAAAGCTTCTCTGTGTGAAATGTCTGTGTAAAGATTTCACTGTGTGTAAAAGCTTCGGTGTGTAAAAACTCTCTGTGTAAAGTGTAAAGGCTTCTCTGTGTAAAAGCCTCTGTGTGTAAACGCGTCTGTGTGTGAAAGCTATATATCTGTGTAAAGACTTCTT